AAATGTGTAAATACAAAACGTCAGGTTTGTACCCAGTAACCAATTGTAATGTCAAAATGGTTGGGTAGCAATGTGCCTCAAGGCAGACCAACATAACTGCGTACAAGATTGTATAGCCCTAGGCAGAAACCAAAAGCTTGGTGCGTTCACCAAAGTCCGGGCGATCATTGAAATTAAGCTTTATGATCACTCTACGAGTTTATTTGGAGTGAACATGGAAATTCGATGTTCAATCATAAACCCAAAAGACATGCAATACTTATCCAAAACCTTCGATATAAACTCTCTAGCATTATCCAGTTTTCTAGACTTTATGGGATAAGTAGGATGGTGAACCCTTAAAATCAGTAAGGAGGTTTAGCAGCAATATGTGTGGACAAACATATGACCAGTTTATCGATTCATCAACCAAAATCATAAGTATTTATATGGTTCACATTTTGGTTGGATTAGTCCACATATATTCCCTTGAATCCACTGTGAAAAGAAAGTTGTTTTGTATCTTTGCGAGGAATGATATAGAAATCAAATTTTCCAAACGAGCGGGCTTGGCAAAGTGTGCTTGTAGACACAAGATCATTACTTTAGGTAAGGAGATGTGTCGTGGCATCATTGTTCGACCTAAGTGTCCCAAATGGTCGTGTCAAAACAATTAAACTGCTCAATCACCCCGCTACAGGTCGGCCATATGTGGCATGTTCCTAGTTAGGAGATAGCCCATTCGCCCTAGATCAAAGCTTTAGGCTCATTTTGGAGGTGGTGCAAAGATATTCCACTTTATTTTCCATCAGTGGTTTCATTCATGATCATTGTTATCTCGAATATCCTTAAAACTCAACGATGTTCTTCTGGAATGGGGAGAATATAAGGTCTCTTAAATGGTAATTTAGTACCATTCATACAACGAGGAGCATGCCAATGCTCTTAATTAGGTTGGATAAACCTGAAGTCGTTGTTAGAGATGTGATTTAGGTATAAAGTTAGTGTGCATAGTATCGCATTCATCTAGACAACTAACTTTCCCACATTCTTACCTAATCACATGTTTAATTGAATTTGGTCTCATGTATTAAGAAACATGATTCAATTAACTCATATTTAAGGACAATATCGATAAGATTATCCATAACTAAAACAAACACCAAATGTGAATCCAAGAACATAAAAAAATGTTCACAAAGTAAATGGTTTACTAAGGAGATTCGGCCAACAAGGCCATCCATGTCAAAATTTTGCTCCTCCAATGATGTTTGGTGGAGCAAAATTAGTTTCACATATTGACTAAAACAATGGTACTCCTTAAAGACATTGGTAAAAGCACGAACATGTGCATAACCAATTATCTATTCCATCGAGACGGAAGTAGATTCTGCAGTGTTGAGGTTTGGGAATATTATCCCTTGTTTTTGAAGTTTTAGGTCTTAGGTGCCAAGGATCACACTTTGGGCGTGATGCCACACCTTGGCAGGCCCTAATTCTACCATATGTTGTAAAAACAAACTCAAAATTAGGATTGTGAGAGAGACAGACCCAGACTTGGGTTCGGTAGGTTCCAATTGAAGTCGGAGGGGTCTGTTCGGTAGGCCTCTACCGAAGTAGAGCAATACCGTTTGGTAGACTCCAGCCAAGTTGGGTCCATACTATTCGATAAACTCTAGTCGAGGTTGCGTCTATAGCTTTTTCTCATATTTATGGTAGTAATCAAATTTGAAAATTTGGTAAACTTCTGCTCTCTACACTGCTGCTTCAGGAGCGAGTTAGAAATATGAAAAGACGAGAAAAGTATACTCTAGTCGAAATTCGATCGGATTTATAAACTTCATAATCGTACTCATTCATGGATGTAATCATGGTGTGTTTCAGGCAACATCTTACATGATTAGACGATCCGTAGGAGTGAGCCAAAGAGCCATGAAATCTTCGTTCAGGAGTACTTCCGTGGGTAATGCTTCGAGCATAAGTCTTCGAATGAAGATCATGGCGGAGGCTTATTCAGCTCTTCCATGCCATTGTTGGCTTCAATGGTTTCTCAGCTTCTTGATAGTCAAGTGGAGCTTCACATCTTATACCTACTTAAAGTGGTTTCTATTAGAAACATCCAGATCAGGAAAATCAAACTTGTGACAGTACAACAATCCAATGAATGGAGGGAACAAGATTGTGATTAGTGCTATGAGAATGAATTATCTATAAGCATCAAAGTTAGAACATTCGAGTTCCAAGACATGGGTTTCATGAAAAACGTCGGGCTTTTATGGGTGTATATGTTTTATGAAAACTTCAGGTTTCAAAGGCATTAAATTTGAAACTACAAGTTCGATTTAGTTATAAATGTTCGGTTCATATACAGGGGTACTTGCAAGAACACAGAAGACAATATACAATAAAGTGTAGTGAATTTGTGGATTGCTTCAGGACCCAAGTGTGAGTGCATCAGGACTACGAAAGATAATTAACGGTTCAAAGAAACGAAATAATTTATTACATCGTTAATTGCCAAAAAGTGAACTTCAGATCAATAAAAATTATCAGATTAATATACTACTGGTCACTTTAATTAATTTAATAAATTGGGACCATACAGGGTTGATCGTGGAAGCAAAAATAATAATAACATTTGGGTTAAAATTATAGCCCAATCTCAATGGGCTTGGGTGCTGTGTGCGGGACAAAGCCCCAAAAGGGGTTTATTGGTCCACAAGTTGGCTACGGAGCAGCCTAATCATGGTTGCGGGCCATAGGTCGTGCGTCTGGGAAAGGTTCTGCAACAAAGCTGCTGGTTTATAGGCCATAAAAGACGCGAGTGCACTGGCCCAGCACGGAGCTGGCTTAGGATGGGTGAGTGCGAAGCCCAACGAGAGCTCGCTTTGTTGCGGGCTGATTCTAGGCAATCCCAGCCACATGGGCTGGATTTGGTGATCGCAGGCCGAGACAGATGGCGGCTCAGCAAGGCTGAGGCCTGGTTGCAATGGAATGGCAGCAAACCCATGGGGCTGCTGCGAGAGGTCCATGGCGTCGAAACGACGCCATCCTAGCTATGAAGTGGCTACAGGCCAGCCAGCATGGCTAGGCGGTGTGGCGTGGAGCCGCGAAAAATCCCATATGTTTTTTCGAATTCTAGGGTTAAAAATCCTAATTGCTTCTAAATTAATTTTAATGCTTTGACTCACAAATTCCGCATAGCATAATTGCATATTGCATGAACAAATATATATATTGACAAAATATATTAACACATATGCAATATATATAATTGGAAGGAAAATATAAATATAGGGGGTTCATGCATCATGGGGAATGTTTTCATGCTTCAAGGTTGTTTCAAATATCTTAATTTATTTTAAGTGTACCTAATTGACAGAAAACAACAAAAACCTTTTAATTTGTAGAAGATCATTCTAGAAAAGCCAACTAATAACGTGTTGTATGCATAATTTACTGAATTATATAGAGGGGGGAGAGAGAAGGGGTGCATCATAGTAGAGAAAGAGAGAGATATGTAATTGTGAGGTGTATTCTATTTCATTCCATTGTGCCTTTATTTATAGTAGTAAGGAAAGTAAACTTTTTATCCTAACAGGATTATAAATCTAATAGGATAATATCTAACCCTAGAGAATATTCCAAGATATTCCTAGATATACTATGATTTACACAATCACATTCCTAATCTAACAAGACTACAACATAAAGTAGTTTAAAAAAAAAAAAAAAAAAAAAAAAAAAAAAAGGTCTAAAGGCTAAGGATGTTTGGCCTAACAAATTTAAAAATATGGATCAAAATTCCCCTAATAATAACTACAAACAACACAACAATACTTTAAAAATAATAAAAGTACTAAGAACAATAAAATTAAAAAAATTAAATGAAGCATGCCAGTTCTAACCATGTCATGTTTTTACTTTTAAAGTTGGAAATAAAACGGCATATTAATTTATTTGCTTTAGTTTTACTTTACCTTTTGAAACAAGTTTATCTCATTTTATCCCATAAACTGTCAATTTTGTTTCATTTAATGTCAATTCATCTCATTTTAGTCCATTTCGTAAAAAAGGATAAATTAAATGGTAGTATGGACATTTTATTTTTGAGACAACTCTTTGCCTCCAACTTGCTTGATAAAAGAATCCCAATTCCATTTTCAATAACTTTAATTCAAAGCCCAGTCCGTCTCTCTTGTGCATTGGTGTGAAGCTATAGCTACATATGATGGTAAAAGCAAAAATGGGTTGCATGTGTTTCAAAGAAAATAATGAGTTGTATTTCAAAATCTGATTTAAGCCACTCATTGAATCCAATGGCTGCAACTATAGCTCTGTATCAATCTGTAAGAGAGACAGACATGAGTTTGAATTAGAGTTATCAAAATAAAATTAGGACTGTTTTAGCAGCTAAGTTGGAGACAAAGAGTTGTTTCAAATAAAATGTCCATGACACTTTTTAATTTAACATTTACTTGATGGAATAGACAAAAATGAGGTGAACGGAGATTAAATGAGACGAAACTGATAGTTTCATGGGGCAAAGTGAGACAAAGCTAGTACCACGGAGTAAAGTATGACTAAATAGCAGTTTTAGTAGAAAATCAATTAATAAGCCTATTAGGAATGCAAAGTTATTTCTCCTTATAAGTTAAAAGAAAAATAAATTAATCGTAATAATAATTCGACACAACTCGACTTATTATTTTCCCTAAGGAGTCTGCGCGTAAAATGAAGAACTGAAGACATACAAATTATAAAGTAGAGATGTAACCAAAAGTAAAAAACCCTTGGACTCAATTGTTAGTAACTAATTTACTTTAACCCCCAAGTCACCATCATACAAAATAGGCTGGTTTTATATACACATTCATTTTTACTTTTTACATACTTTTTGTTAATTTTTGTCATTTTTTTAATTCATTCGATCTAAATACTGAAATTGAAACAGATGTGTGGATAGTACCATCCTAAAATATTCACAAATAATTTTTTTTTTTTTTTCAGATACACAAATATTATTAATTAACAAATATAATAAAGATTAAAGAGGTCCACTATTACACAGAGATGGCTACAAACTAGACGGTAAGCACGTGAAAACCTAAAATTCAAACCCTATTATTAGACCCTTGCGCGGGACGACCATACTAATTTATCTATCTTATACTAATATGTTTTTTGTTTTTTTTCAGATTAACAGTGACTCGGCAAATGACTCTAATTCAAGTTGATTTTGATGATCATGATGATGGTCTGTCTTCAGAAGCGCCTGTAGATATTCTTCATATAGATTTTCAAGCGTATGATCATCACCGCCATCAGCTGAAGAATTAATAGGATCATGATCTTGATCTTCATCACCAACACAAAACACAAGCCCATTATTACACCAAGTATTAACACCAAAACCTCCTCCTCCTCCTTCTCTCCCTCCCCCTCTGTTTAAGTCTTGGCTTGAAGACCCAGTGGTAACTGTAGTACTACTAGTAAAACTGTCATTTCTTGGTAGGGATAAAAAGGAAGTAAACCTAGTAGGTTTTGGAAGATGAACCTTAGGCTTTTGTGGCTCCACATGTTGGGCTGTTTTCTTGTTCTTCTTGTCTTTCGTCATCACCATCTCCTTCTTATTGTTGTTGTTCTTGCTTCTTTGGTTCTTTCTCCTTTTATTTTCTTTGGCTATCGGCTCAGATAATTTTTTGTGGGTGTTTGGATCGGTGCCTTCGTTTCTGAGTCTTTTGCTAAGATGGGTGTTCCAGTAGTTCTTGATCTCATTATCGGTTCGACCCGGAAGCCTACCGGCGATGAGAGACCAACGGTTGCCAAGAAGTGAATGTAGTCTGATAATTAGGTCATCTTCATCGGGGGTTATGTTGCCTCTCTTTATGTCTGGTCTTAGATAGTTCATCCACCTTAGCCTGCAACTCTTCCCACACCTGAGGAGGCCTATTTTGACCAAAAAATGTAGGATAAAAATAATTGTACAACAAATGAAAAAAAAATTACAGAACAATGAGGACCATATATAATTCATGATACCTAAGAAATTATATAACAATGTGGAAAATGAGCAATAACATAATTATGTATACCAGCTTTTTTTGGCAAGGATCTCCAATGGCCTTCACCATGAGCTTCAATATACTTGGTGAGTAATGTGTCTTCTCTAGGAGTCCATGGACCTCTATGCAAACCAACCTTGGAACAGCAAGGAGCCCTTCCCATGATTCACTCTATCTAATTAGATCTCTTCTCTCTCAAGAATATGAATATTTAGAACTAGAGTGGGAATAAGAGGGAAAGCACCGGAAACAAGAGGACTCTGATGCTCTGTAGAGCACAAAGGATTCTTACACCTTGTACCCCTTTTTATTTGTTGGGAGTGCTAACGTGTGTTAAGAAGGAATAAATAAAGACTTTTAAAGAAAAAATGATAATTTTATAAGTATTATTTTCATATAGGAAAAATGTACATCTCTTATTATCTGCCGATCAACATATACACGCACACACACACACGCAAGGTCTTTATATTACTAGACTGTAAATATGAATCATTGATCAAATTATTCTTGTATGAACGTGTAGTCTGAATTATAATTAATCTTCAATCACAAATTTTATTTGACGATATAAGTCCAATTTGATCATTACTCTAACATCATGTATATAATGATGAAAGTTATCTAAGATATGGATCCAACTTGTTGCCAACACCCATCAAATGTTGAGGTGCATGAAAGTTAATAAACATTTTAGTCCAATGTGATCAAATGGTTTAAAATATGTTCTTATTAAAACATTTATTTATGAACGTTCTATAAAAACAAGAAACGATTACTTTATTTGAATTGAATATAAAATGTGTACTAATTAATACAACATAACAAGCCAATAATTGTTTTTGAGATGCTTACTTGAATTTTGCCAATTTACGTTTGTGCACGTAACTCAACGGTCCTTCTTGCTATCTGCCCTTCTCGTGCATGCAGCTTGAATGCATGCTGCATTTTTCCATAAAGAACCATATCACTAGTACGATTGTGTTTGATTTTAAAATTGCTAGTTTCCTACCATATAATTACCGCATAGGAACCCATATTTTTTATCCCCTGGTCCTCCAGCTAGCCTGCAATACTGCCTCTTGACTTGCTTAGAGTGTCAAATGAAAGCTATAACAATAGTTTAAACACACATTAATTAAACTATACATCATGAAAATTTTCAGTACTATATTTCTATGTTTCGTTTGATTTCTTACCGTTATATTTTATCTCTACTTATAACAAAGAAATCAAATCTCCTTTTGGCCCTTCAGACCAGTTGTAGAATTGTTTTGCTTAATTACTGGGCATATCATTTATGCCCTGATCATTGAAAGCCAATTATAAACAAACCGAAAAGATATAATGGTTACACAGACTCTTCAAGGAAAGCAATTCTTTATTTATTTATTTTTTTTAAATGAGGATTAGTTGTGGGACTCACACCACATTGAATTTCAACGATCTGAACAAGTTATTTTCAAAGTTGTACCTCATAGATCATTCTTGCAAAATATTGGCCAAATCAGAAATATTTGAGGCATATAATTGAGTTCAAAGAAATTGATGAACACTATGTTCTAAGAAACTAGTGAAATTTTATCGTAACAATTAAATAGGCAAATGGTTTCAGATTGAATTGAATTTTTGCAAGGATGATCTATGAATCGAGACTTACAAAATAGATGGTTCAGATCATTGAAATTCGATGTGGAGTGGGTCCCACAACTAATCTCCATTTTTTTCTTCAAAAATGGGGATATCCCTTCCCTTAAAGAATATTACAAGAATATATAGTGTGTGTGTGTGTGTGTGTGTGTTAGGATTCGGGGACACACGTTTATGACACATATTTTCACACCCATTTTGTAGGGTCCACTACATATTGTATTTCAACGATCCAAACCGTCTATATTTTAGTACATCATCATTCATAGATCATCCTTACAGAAAATTGGACAAATCCAAAACCACTAAATTTAATCCAATGGTCATATGGTTTCAAATTTGGGTATTTTTTGGGAGGCATGATCTATGAGATAAGACATAAAAGATAAATAGTTGGATCGTTAAAATACATTACAGAATAAACGCCACAAAAACGTGTGTCAAAATATATGTTAAAACCGTGTCTCAAAATATATATTATCATGCTTCATCTATTAGGTTGAATTACACAGCTGATAAACATACCTCGTTCCACCACTATTTGGGGGAGTATGATTGGAATTAAGAAAATGAATAATTTTCTAAGAGAAAGGGTAACATATATAACAGTTTAATTGTTGTATGTGTGAAGTATCTTCAAGCAAATAGTCCACACTCTGCAACGTTGTGGGTGGTCCCTATTCGACGTGTGCATGCTTGGAAACTTTTATTCAATGGGAATGGAAAATATGGCTTTGCCCTGTTCTTATGTCATCGCTTTTGTGTGTGTGTGTATCTCTCTAGAGCAAATCAACTGAATAAGCTAGAATAGAAGTAACTATAAGAAAAGAAATTGTACTAGTTTAAAACATTTTCAAAAGATATGTCAAAATATTCATATTAATAATAACCGTAAAAAAACAGACAACATCAATATTTGTTAATCAAGAAGTCAGATCTGACGTGGTAATGACATAAAATGACATATCTAACCTTGCTGCCAAATTAAAAGCAGCTTCAAATATTTCTTAATTAATTATTAAATATTTTTTTTTGTTGTTTTCTTCTCTCCTCCATTTTCTCTTCCTCTGTGTTTTCTCTCTCTGTGTGTGCAAATTCGGTCCCCTCCCTCATCCACCTCAATCTCAGTTCTCATCTAAGTCCCTTTTTTCGTTGCCCACCTCCTAATTAGCTTAGCAAGTCCAACCCCAATTAGAACCAACTGGTCTTGTTTTCTAAGAGATTTGGATAATTACATCCATGGCATTTTGCAGGGGCTGAAATCAATGGATGTGAAAATTATGTGGTGGATGATGATGCATATGCAGGTGATCAAACTGCTCGCTTTTACGGCGAGCCATTGTTGACGTTATTTATGTAGGGCTTGGAGATGGAACCGGCAAGTTTGACTATCAACACTGATGGACGATATTGAAGCAGCTGGAATCTGGGACTAGTACTAGTTAGTCATCAATCATTTAATTGTTAATTAATATGAATTTTTATTATTAATTATTTATATGTAAATATAAAATAGATAATAGCAATTATGAAACGAAAATAGTGTAATAAAATAATAGTTTAATTTGATATACTGGGTAGAGAGTAAAACTTTAAAAGATGTCAAAGTGTCACATAGGCTATCAAATTCAAATTTGATCTCTTTTGGAGATGGTCTTAGAGAATCTCCAAAGAAGATGTCAAGAGATATACAACAGTAAAAATAGCAACAAACTCTCTTCAACCGAGCCTTCAATTTCTTACGTGACGCTGAGTCATTTGAAGGCAAAGTCTTCTGCTGTCAAATTTATTTAATGATTTTAATAGATGTGGTGCAATATATGATGTGTGTTCTAAGTATCTAATTGGTTGTCTCAATAATTGGATTATTGAATTACAATTGGATCATAATTCAAGGACCATTTCTCCAATTTACTTAACAATGTATCATGATTGTTGAACTTACATATTAGGTGTTTAATTTGAAGGAATTGTGTTAGTGTTGATTACTAGTGGTCGTTGGACTAATTAAACTCAACAACAAAAAATAAAATAATAACATTAAATTTATGGAACTATTATTAGCATCTTAAAAATATAATTGTGAATCTTCATAAGAGTATTTTTTTTTTCTAAATATAAAATAACTGAACTACACAATTAAATTGCTGACGTGCCAATAAAAATTCCTAAGTTTATGGTATATAAACTAAAGGTCTTTGTAAAAGTTTTTATTTAATTTCAAAGTCACCTTTGTATCAAAAAATAAGATGGAAAATTCAATGGCACCTTTGTATTGGCAAATGAAAACAACATTGGGATTGGGATATCAGCATTCCAAGAAAAATAAAATTAGTTAGTACTCCGGCACTCATAATTTTTTACATTATCTTAAAAGGCTATGTGGATCAACGTGGCTCTTTCATGCATAACTGGAGAACAGTAAAAAAATCCAAGTGATTAACTATGAGATGCTTCCATTTACTCAATATTAATTGGTCTAATGGTTTTTAATGGAGAGGAACTTGAGAAAATTGATTTGTAAATCAGATCATATCAAAATGTCAGTAGAACTCGTGAGATCCAATGCTCCGATTAAAGCAAAAACAAGTACTTTTTTTGCTCGGTTTCTATTGGATCCAAGGGACAAGGATTCGAATTTAAGAAACCAATTGGTACAATTACGTCGTTTCTTGCAGCTCAATTGTACGTGCATGCATGGTTCTATTCATGTCTCTCAACCACTAGTCTTCTAGCTCTTCATCAAACATTGCATGGAGAAATTTTTAATTATGACGGGAACACGAGTGATATATCATGTGTTTTTATGTAAGTGGTGGAAAATTTTATTTTTTAAGTTATTAATTTTTTAACACACATATCCCACCATTTATATAATAACACGTGATATACCACCTTGTGTGCCGGTCACACTGAAAAATCTCTTCATTGCATGATCCTATTCAAGTCTCTCAACTACTAGTCTTCTAGCTCTTCATCAAGCATTGTCGCCAAACGTACCATTGGACCTAAAATGTACCTCTTAGTGGGACATTCACCAGAGGGGTTTTTGAACATTAGTTCTTGAAAAGATTAAAATTTAAAAAAACCTTGTACTAAATTACATATTCAATTTAATCCCTAGAATGTACTTTTATCAAAATTTACATTCAATTTTTGTTATGTAATTTGCATTTTTATTTAATCTCTCCACATTAAATTTTAATTTTATTAATATGCATATATTTAGTTTTTTAATTATAAATGAACGTAAATAAGAAAATATTAAAAAAAATTTGTGATACAAAATATATAAATATATAAGTGTACATAAATGATTGTGCCGAAATATATAAAATTGACGTTTTTGTACCAAAATATTTGTACCTACATGATTGTACAGAAATATATTATAATGAACCTAAATGTATGTACCGAAATGTATTATATTGAATTAATGTACCTAAATGTCAATACCGAAATGTATGTACCAAAAATGTACGTACCTAAATGTCAATACCAAAATGTATGTACTTAAATGTCAATACCGAAACGTATGTACCAAATTATACGTACCTAAATGTATGTACCGAAATATAATATATTGAATTAATGTACCTAAAAGTCAATACTCAAATGTGTGTACCTAAATGTACGTAA